CCTCCATATACTCGGATGATATACTCTCAGAGACTGCCCTTGCTTTGCAATGTTCAAATTTGGCATAAGTCCGGGGTAGCATTTCCAAGCTGAAATCCCCTGCTTCGTTCTTTGGATCCCCATCTCAGTCATGTTGCTCCTATGATGATTCCGAACATGGTACTGATAACACCGCTGATTTCTAGCATCATTCACACCAAATCTATGGTTACGAATCCCGCTCTTTAAGCCGCCCCACACCCTATCACCACTATAAGAAGACTTCACAGGATACGCAGTAGTTCCAGCCAAAGAATCAGCACCAGAATTACAACTCAATCCATTCTTCACCAAATCACAATTGGTCTCCAAAGGCATAACGTTTTCTCTGTTCACATAACTAATCCCAGCCATTGCATTGTTTTCAAAATCCTGCTTAACATCACTACAACAACCATTACAACCCGGTAATGGTTTCGCAGGCGGCGCAGTTGCCACTGCCTGACTCGACCTCCCAACCCCATTACACAAAATCTGACCCGACCATGCCGGACAGCGCAGCCCAAAACCCTTACCTTCCACCCTCAAATTCCCATCTCTGGGATTCAGCGGATTTGCCCGAGACACCAAAAAACTCCCTACATTGTCACAACGTTTACTCCCTAATCTGTCATCCAACAAGTCTCTGCCCTGATCAAAAGATTCACACTTTTGGGATTCACCCAAAAACCCTATTTCATCATTCTCACTAGTACCAAAACGACGGCGAAAAGCCGATTGCTTTGCAAGCAATTGCCGTTTCAGCACCATTTTTCTAAGCGATTCATCGCCGGACCGTACGCCCCCAAAGTTCTTCACCGCCGCCTTCTTCTCCACCTGAGCTCCGCCCCTCAAATGGCGGCGGTGGGTCCCTACATGTTCGCTCTCTGACTCAAACCCCTCACTAAGGTTCACACCTTTCACGCAATTCACATAACCACTGACATTATCACTGCCATTTCTACAACAAACAAAAACCCAGAGCCTCGGGGACTTACCGTACAGCTCGAGCTTGTCGTACTCTTCGATCATGCACCGAACGTCGTCATCTGACGCGATGAGGGCGAGAGGGGCAGCGGAGTCGGAGCCGGAGCCGGAACCCGGGAGCTGGTACTTGAGAGTGAATGTGGGGTTAATGCTGGGGCAAAGATCCAAAATCTTTGATCGGAGCTTCGAGAACCCGATGTTACGGTCCACGGACACGATTCTGGCCTCGCCGCCGACGTAGCGTAGCTTCCCGGACGGCGGGCGGGGGTGGAATGCGCCGTTGAAGCAGCAGACGAGCTTCAGCTTCTTGGGCTGGTGGCAAGTGGGCCTTCTGCGACGGGAGAGAGGTGGCTCTTTCATGGTTGTCATAGAGAGAGAGAGAGAGAGAGAGAGAGAGAGAGAGAGAGGGGTTGTTTGGGTGCGTTGAGAAACACTCTGTGTGATGCGAATGTTTGCTTGTATGGGAGTGTAGCGGGAGAATGTCAACTCGTTGCCCCAAGAGTTTCTCAAAATTTCCAGGTTGCCACTCTGTTTCCAAATGAATTTTTGTTGCTTTTTATTCGTTTTCTGTTTCGATGTACATATCATTTTAGTTTTTTTTTTTTCAAATGCGATCAACATAGTTAGTTCGTAAATAAAACCTAATTAATTAATAAAAAAACAAACATAGATTTTTTTAGGAAATTGTTACTGGTACTCTAAAAATCTCATTCTACACTCTACACAATACATATTTTTCTTTATAAATATAGAAAGTTTGGAGTGCCAATAACAATATTTTTTTTATATATATAATAAAATTGTCTTTTGATAGTTAAAGAATTTGTGTGGAAATTAAGTGACTTCTGTAACATCCCACATCGTCCAGGGGAGTGGATCTTGTAAGCCTTATATGTATATTCTCATCTCTACCTAGCACGAGGTCTTTTGAGAGCTCACTGGCTTTGGGTTCTATCGGAACTCCGAAGTTAAGCAAGTTCGAGCGAGAGCAATCCCAGGATGAGTGACCCACTGGAAAGTTCTCGTGTGAATTCCCTGAAACAAAACTATGAGGGCGTGGTCGGGGCTCAAAGTGGACAATATCGTGCTACAATGAAGTCGACCCAGGGATGTGGTGGGGGCCCAGGCCGGGATGTGACAATTTGGTATCAGAACTAATCCTTGGCCAAAAGTGTGCCAACGAGAAAGTCGGGCCCCGAATAAGGGGGGACCCAGGGATGTGGTGAGGGCCCAGGCGGGGATGTGACAATTTGGTATCAGAACCAATCCCTAGCCGAAAGTGTGCCAACGAGAAAGTCGGGCCCCGAATGAGGGGGGTGGATTGTAACATCTCACATCGCCCAGGGGAGTGGATCATGTAAGCCTTATATGTATATTCTTATCTCTACCTAGCACAAGGCATTTGGGAGCTCACTGACTTCAGATTCCATCTTAAATTCGAAGTTAAGCGAGTTCGTGCGAGAGCAATCCCATGATGAGTGACCCACTGGAAAGTTCTCATGTGAGTTCCCAAAAACAAAACCGTGAGGGTATAATCGGGGCCCAAAGCGGACAATATCATGCTACGGCGGAGTCGAGCTCAGAATGTGACAACTTCTCTCACATTTTTTCCCTCTTTTCTTTCACCTTTTTTTTATTGATGAAAATTGAAAAGTAATATGATATAACTTGTAAATGGCTGGAAATAAATAATAATTACTTGTATAAATTTAAGAAGAATTAGGAAGATAAGGGTACCTTTTTTAGGTTAAAATCCACCTAACATGATTCTTGTGAAATAAGAATGTTCCAATCATAAAAAATATAGGAATTCTATATGTTGTTGATCTGATTTTGTGGGCTTCTAAATCTAATCCCAATAGACATGGGATTTCTTCTTACCCCTCAAAGTGTGGAGCTTTTTGTCTAACAATACGTGTTTACTACTAATCAAGTATTGTGTAATTCATTTAACAAAAAAATGGTTTTGTCATGTATATTTAATTTACTTTCATGTATATTTAAGTTTGAGTTTAATATATATTCGGTTGTGATTTTGTAGTTAAAATTTCGCTGCTTATATTTTGTAGATGCATGTGTTCCTATTTTGCTTTGATTGATTGTGAAGGATGGACAATATATATGTAGGTTGAGATGAATCATGTAAACACGCAGAAATACAAAGTTATGTTCTTGAATTTAATAGTTTGAGAGTCGAGTTTTCTTTTTCGTTTGACATGTCTCTTTTAAAAAGCAAAATTTATACGTTTATCTTAGTTATAGAAAATTCAAGAAAGATTGAATATATACACACACACTATGAATGCATATTTCATTACTTAATTTCATACATGGTCTATCACTTTTTTGTTGACAAAAAAAAAATGCATCACTTTCTTGTTATAAATTGAACTTATTGGTAAGCTAAACCCATACTTTGAATTTTTTCATGTCATAAATCAACTTGAACGTTCATAAATAATTGAAAAAGAAAAAGACAAACCCAGTACAGTACGGTATCCGATGGAATCCTTAACCGTCGAAATTTATTATGAGAAACAAACAAATCAACCAAAGATCCTTCACAATTGAATGGGTCCATTTTTGAACCAAGAGGTGGTTACGGTTGATTAGTGGAGCAAACAATTTTAATTGACGAGTGGCATTTTTGTTAATAAGAAGCCATGCAAGGGCATTATTTCATTGAGCGGAAGGATTCTCGTAGGATGATGACCTTCCATTTGGCCTGTTGGCGGTTATATTCCAACGAGATAACCTCCTTTTTTTTTGTCTTGTAGTCCAATTGGGAAAACCTTTCGAAGATATAATTTAATTAAATTTAAGGAATCTGTGCTACATTGCGCCGAGTGCACACGTTTGGAAATTATTGGAACATCAATACTTTTTCAAGTCTTCAGGAATTTGCATAGACGAACAAAAAGTAGGAAAATAAATATCATAAGGAATTTGCATAGATGAATAATTTAAAAAAGATTATATTCAAAAACTTTAATTTATTTTTCTCGCATTTTAATTTTTTTTTAATATTTTCTACACACCACTAACACTTGATAAAATTAAAAAAATTAAAAAGATGTGAAAGAAGTAATTTAGTGTGTATGAATATAATCTCCCTAATTTTAATAGTGATTATTTGGTTTCTAACGTAAACATCGTAGCTTTTCAATGCTGAATATATAAACGAGAGTTATACTTATTGTTAATTTGAAATAGTTTTTCACGACAGTCTTAATAACTTGACTAATAATTTTAAAATACGTAAAAATGAAGCTTGAGAAGTAAGGAAGAGGCATAAATCATGAACAAACGGGTTTTGCTTTATGAAAAACAAAAAGAAGTAAATACATATTGCAACCCAGTTCGTTTTCTTAGAATCATAATCCTAATCCTAATCGTATTTTTTATTTATTTAGATTCTCAAACGTAGAAGATTGAATATCGACACCGGCGCAAGTTAGCATCTGAGCCAAGGTGTACGTGGGCCGCTGATGATTCATTCCGATGACAAGGCGGGAACTAAGGAGAGACTGCCACGTCGAGGATGGTGCTGCTACGTAACACGCGGCGCAGTACAAGCAGGAACACCACCGCAATCGGACGGTTGTGGGCCCCTATAGGGATATCAGATGGTGGGGGCCTCCAGGCTGATCTACGCGTAGGTTTCTATGAGCAGTGTGATGAGCCATGTAGACGATGGAGGAGGTGCACGATGACTAATACCGATGAGATTGTTTGTTGGCATAAATTTTTCTTTAGAGACTTTAGCAAATTGAACTTTCTCTTGGAAAAGAATTATCTTCGGATCATTTCCATTAAATTCATCTCATCAATCAATTTGAACTTTTAAAATTTAATCCAACAATTAAAGTTTTTATAACTTTTAAAGGAATCCCTTATTTATAGCCGTTAGATCAAATTTTAAATATTCGAATTGATTGATGGAGTGAATTTGGTGGAAGGAATCCGAAAAGAAACTTTTCCCTTTCTCTCGGTCTTTGGGCTTTTTATTTTTTGTTTTTTGCCTCCTTTTGTTTTCCTATAAAATAGCGTTAATTATAGCTACAGTTCTAAATACATCTACTTTTCATCCTTCAATCTGCTGAATATATATGTAGTTTGCAAGATGTCTCAAGCAGTGTAGCAATTTTAGACATGACACTTAACGCAACTTAAAACGTACAAATGAAAATAAATACTATTAAACTGTAGTACTAAATAGTTCATCTGCCTCTTATTATACAAAAACTCAAATATATCCCGTCCCTAGACAGTTGAGGCAGTGCTGCACCCTGCAAAATCCCAAGATAAACAAAGCATCACGTAACCAATTTAATCAAATTAAAAGCCAAAAAGTTGCTTTACATTTGACCAACACCCAAAATTTCGGAAGATGAAGCAATGTCAATTGTCAAGATGTCAGACGGACGAGGAATTCACTGTTAAGTATCGTTAAAGTTTTTATTATTAAGGAAAACTAATTAAAGATTTTTGAAAATTTTTAGTTTTAACGATAAAAACAACATAAATGGTAAAATAAATAGTACCAGAATTGACTTTTTAATGTAAAAATATAATTTTTCGTTAAAACAAACAGTACCGAAACTTTTCGTTAAAGTTCCTTATTATTACCCACTAACACCACAATAATGAAATTTACCGTGAAATGCCTCGACACAGTAATATAACCCTTCATTACATACCGTATTGTATTATATTTTATCAATTTTCCGGCGCGTAATCAAAGCAAGCAATATCACTGTTGAATATACCTATTTCCATCACAGGTAGGGCAAAGGCAGGGGTTGATGGCAATTGGGTCGTACAGCGGCGACCATTCAATGGTGGCATTCCCTTTGCAAAGCTTGCATATATAAAACCCTTTACCTCTGCAGACCACACAAGGCAGCGCAACCTTTCTCTGCCCCAAAAACCCACCAACAAAATGACCATAAGACCAATTCAGCAAAAACGGAGGAGAGATTTGAAAGTTAAAAGCTGGGTTTTTGGTCTTTTTACCCGTTTGGATTCGGCGGCGAACCGGAGGGCTCCGATTGTGGCGGTGGAAGCCAGGTTGAGCGTGAAGAATCCGCCGAGGAGTACGGCGGCGGCTGTGCCAAGGGTGCGGAGTTGCTTCGGAAACATGGGTGGTGGAGTTTCACTCGGGCGATTGTCGAACAGTTGGAGGAAGAGGAAGTGGAGTCAACTCTGCGAAGCTAAGGCCAAGGGCTCCAGGTGAAATGAGCCACACCAGAAGACTTTTGTTTTGGTATGGAATGATTATAACACCGACCCGGCCCACGGGGGGAAGTCCGTTAAATTTGGAATGTTAATGGTAATGGGGACCTCATAACCCTCTTTTGTTTGGATTTCCATTATTAGTTTTGAGCTAATTACAAATAAACTCCAAGTTTGAGCCCTTTTTTTTTTTGGAAAAACAAACCAAGGCCGAAGCCGAAAACAACAGGAGAGCCAACGAATGGCGAACACCAAACAGGCACAAAGAGAAAGAAAACGATGGAAGGGGATACAAACTAGCAGACACTACAACCAGGTTGAGTGTCACCCCAACCACCACCACAAAGGAAGACCATACTTATTCAAAACATGCACCAACGAAGATGGGGGTCTGTCAACCCAAACCCGATCACTCATCTCCGGCTTTTGTAAATCATATCAAAAATCAGATACAAAAGTGATTTGAATTATTAATATATTAACGCTTTAGGTAGTAACGGCAGAAAAGTTAAAAAATTGTGCTTCTTTGAAAGTGATCGAAAAAAAATGTAGGTTGGAATTAGCTCGTTCTTTTTAGTATTTCACATTACTTGTTAGATCCATCTATTGGAAAACTTTTATTAAATCCTAAAATTCCCTCTCTTAGACTAATGACGTAAGAGGCTTTTGAGTGAAATCTCGAACATACGTCTTTCAACAAAGTAAAATTTAGGTACGCTGAACTAATTGATCATACGTCATAATGCGTAAGATTGTTTGGCATGTGTTATCCATTAACCTCTTATACTTCGATCTATGTTAGGGTAGGGACAAAGTATAAACAAGATGTAACCTTGAAACATTTGACTTTTCTTAGAATAATATAATAACGATGATATCAATGCTTAAGATTCATGTTCATAGCCTTGGGCAACAAGCATTGAACACTTTCTTGGATTTTGGTTAGGATTAAGGGTCAAAAACACAAAGTCAAATTGCTTGGGCTGTAATCCTGTCATGTTTGCAAGTCCCAACATAAGTTTCCAACATACTTTCACTTCCCAGAAGCCGTACTCCAAAGAATTGCTACCACTCTACCATTTGACTCTCTCTCTCTCTCATCAGGAAATGTTACAACCTTGTATAAAAACCCTCGTCACAACATAGTCTTTCATCATACGGTTGTTGTCTCCCTATAATTTGTATAACATGAAAACATGGAGACCATTTCATGTTGTGTTCTGTACTTTCGCATGCTTCTTTGTGTGTTTATCTCATGCATCATCGGACACCCTCAGGCATGGACAATACTTGTACAGCAATCAAACCCTGGTTTCTGCCGGCGGGGTGTTTGAGCTAGGCTTTTTCAGCTCCCCCTCAGCGCCGAACGGGTACTTGGGAATCTGGTTCAAGAATGACAAGAACCAAAAGCCAGTTTGGGTTGCAAACAGAAACAGCCCCCTGGATTCCGATGGAATGGTGGGTTCGTCGAGTGTACTTCTCACCATCCGGAATGATGGGAACATGGTGATCATTGACAGAAGAAACATTTCATATATTGTGAATTACGATGCACTTGCGTCAGGGAATAACACAACTGCAACGCTTCTTGACTCAGGAAATCTTGTTCTGATGGAAGGAGGAGACACGTTTTGGCAGAGTTTTGATTACCCGACGGATACGTTTCTTCCTGGAATGAAGTTGGGGTTGTTCAACATAAACACCGAGCAGTTGAGGAAACAGTTTCTTGTGTCCTGGTCAAACACTTCTGTCCCTGCTGATGGTATTTATGCTCTAGGCATTGATCCAGTGAACAACACTCAGTTCAACGTCTGGCGCAGTGATGGAGCTTACCAACAGATTGGACTTTGGGATGGCCATGAGTTTAATTTCTTCTTCAAAAGCACGTTGGATAATCTCAACGTGAGTTCGGGTTGGAAAACTAATGAGATTTATGTTACTTTTAGCAACAAAAATAGTAGCATGCCTTCATGGTTCGTGTTAGCCTCTGAAGGGCTGATTTATGAGTTCACGATGATAGGAAATGAGATCAAGAATGTGGATTATTCACTTTGTGATGACACAATGGCAAGCAGTTCTCCTCGCTGTTTGGTGAGGAGGCCATCAGCGTGTTCAGAAAGAGATAGTTTCTCAAATGTCACAGGAATGCTGCCGAGTTCATTGTTTACAAGTTGGCCAATTCGGATAGATCCCTATGACTGCGAGAAATTTTGCACGATCCATTGCTCATGTGTTGCATATACATATGATTCTTTGCCGGATGGTGGAACTATATGTCAGGTTTATTATGGAAATAAAATCGATCTTCAAAAACTGGTCGGGACAGGTAACAGCACCATTTATGTGCGCGGTAACGCTTCTAAATCTGGTAAGCTTTTACAATTACTCAACCTTTGATAGTTACAAGAAGAATCAATAGCGGAACTGCATATCCTTTATTATTCAAATGCCTTTTAAAGTTTTTCAGATGGTAAGAATTGAACAGCCTCCCCTTTTCTCCCTAAAATCTGATAGATAATATTTTCTTTTTCTTTCTTAAGATAGGAAGCTGTTGACTGTCACATTTATGGTGATTCCCTTGGTGTTCTTCATGTTGATCTTATTGCTATGGATAAAGTGCAACTCTTTAGGTACGTTAACTGCTCTATCGATTGCCCAACACAGTAAATTTTGCCAAATTAATAAAATGAGTAGACTGACTTCTTTGTACCAACAACAGGAATTTATGGATTCCGCAATGGCACGAGAGATAGTATGAGGCTATTATTGTCGCAGTTGAGCTCCGATGATAATGCTAGCTGTCCAAATATTACAGAACTTGGAAAGCAGAAGGATCATGAGTTGCCACTGCTTAGCTTTTCATTCATAGTGACATCCACTAATAATTTCTCCCTTGCAAATCAGCTTGGACAAGGTGGTTTCGGGCCTGTTTATAAGGTTTGTGTTGCAATTGTACTGCTTTTCTAACAATAAGGCATTTGGTGTGACGGGTTTTGTCGATGTCTCTTTTGATAAGTTATATTTAATTGAAAGTTTATATGAAAAAAACCTTTATCTGCTGTTTGTTGCAGGGAAAATTACTACAACATGACATTGCAGTCAAAAGGCTATCCAAAAATTCTGGACAAGGACCCGTGGAGTTCAAGAACGAGGTGCAGTTAATCTCTAAGCTCCAGCACAGAAACCTTGTCAAGCTTTTGGGCTTTTGCATTCACCGAGAAGAAAAGATACTAATATACGAGTACATGCCCAATAAAAGCTTGGATTCCTTCATTTTCGGTCTGTAAATTCATCTATGCGCCTTCCCTATTCTGTTATTGGTTCTCACTTTAGTTCTCTCATGCTGTGAATTGCAATTCTTGCAGAAAAAACAAAGACAAGGTCATTGAATTGGAGACAGCGCATACACATAATCAAAGGGATTGCTCAAGGGCTTCTTTATCTTCACAAGTACTCTAGATTAAGAATTATTCATCGCGATCTTAAAATTAGCAACATCTTATTGGATGCTTACATGAACCCCAAGATATCAGACTTTGGCTTGGCTAGAATTTTATCCGGGAATGAATGTCGAGCCAAAACAAATCGGGTTGTTGGAACATAGTAAGTAACTTCATGCTTGCATTTGTGTATTTATACACATGTTTGTTATGTGCAGCATATACTTCTCATAAAACTCAAATGACTCATTTTCTCTTTTCACTGAAACCAGTGGTTATATGTCTCCCGAGTATCTGATGCACGGCCTTTTCTCAACTAAATCCGATGTGTTCAGCTTCGGAGTCATTGTGTTGGAGATTGTAAGTGGCAGGAAGAACGCAAACTTTTATGAGTCAGATCATTCTCTGAACCTACTAGGACATGTAAGTGGCAACTTGCCTTGGTTCTGACTCAAAATTCTTGTAAGTTATACCGCTGTTCTGTATTATCTAGGTTTAAAATGTGAAAATTGTTGCAGGCTTGGAATTTATGGAAATCTGGGCGAGCAGCGGAGTTGATGGATTCAACACTGGCTGATTCAAGTTCAATGGAAAGCCTTGTAACCTGCATTCAGGTGGGTCTGTTATGTGTCCAAGACAGTGCAGAGGATAGGCCAACCATGTCGGATGTTGTTTCAATGTTGAGCAATGAAGGGGCAACTTTACCTACCCCTAAGCAGACTACGTATTCGAATTTAACGACAAAGGTTGATAAACCATTAAATCAATTGCCTTCTGTAAATCTATTAACATTTTCGGAAGTAGAAGCACGATAACAGCTTCGAAAGAGAAGGGTAGATCGTTGCTTGTAAACCAAGTATATGTGCAGCTGCATAGTTATATGTTCTTGTTCCAACTGTCAATATGAAGCCACCTGAGGTGGTCATTTTCTACATTTTACTTTCTTCTGGGTTTTATCCTCTACCAAAATGTACTTAATTGTTTTTTCTTTTCTCCATACACATAAAGAGTAAGCCACAAATTTTCAATAAATTTAGCAGTACCCATTGTTTATATATTCAAATTCCAAATTATACTGTTCATTTTGGAACAGGGCGTCCGCTATTTATACAACGGATTGTTAATATGGTGTTGATAAGTCACTGATACCATGTAAGTAACAAAACGTATGACTTTTTATCGATACAAAATTTGTCCTATATAGAGCAAAATAAACGTTCAGCACAAAAAACTTCTAGTCATGTATAATCAAATTAACGGCATTTCAACCAACTCATAGCATAACAACAAAATAAATGTAAAAAACATAAGAAGATTAAAGGTAGTTCCGCAGCATATATCGTTCTGGAAATTTTTATCCAATTGCACTGAAATTTATGCTTCTCAACAAATCAACTTTTCTTAAGAAACCCTAGGGTTCATAAACTTCTCCTATATTCATATCATTATTGTGTAAAATCTCGTTGTGGAGTTGTCAGGTTGGCCATGTTTTGCTAAGTCTGTGATCCCTCTACATTATTCAAGGAGTGGAAGTTCACGGTTTAGAGTCTAGACAATGACACTGTTGCATGTATCGACCAACTATTCACATTTTCAACCTAAAAGATATGTATCGCTTTTGAGAAAATTTTATCGTTTCGAATCTATACACGTACTAATCTCGAAATTATAATAAAAGACTATTATTTTTTTCTTTAGCATTAATATTGCATTTGGGGGTTGGATCAAGAAATGAAATGAAATCTCTTCAAACATGATCATTTGAAATGGTAACTGAGATTTTGTCCATGACGATGTGAAAAAAAACCAAACTTTCATGCAATACAAAACACATATAACTAAATTATTTATCAGAAAAATTGATATCCTCACTGATACCGTCGTACCAACCTGTGTTCTAGCAGATTTTTTTGTTTTTGGTTTAATCTCAAAGAAAAGAAAACAATGTTGTTGAAAGCTTTGATTGGTGAGGGGAGAAGAATGTATGGGGCAAGTGATGGAGCATTGAGTCTTCCTATACATATGCTTCTCTGTAACACTGCACTTCTTGCTATGCTGCCTGAAATTGGAGCAAGAACACTGCTACCGATAAGATCCTGTGGAGAAAAAGTGCAGAACTGAAAGAAAAAGGCAGAAAAACGGGATAAAAAATTATTATTTTAAAAAATATATGAATTTGGCAGAGGGAAAATTCTCAGAGTTTGTGAAAATTCCAAAATAATTCCATTAAAATTGGCAGAGGGGACAGGATTTGGTTCCATCCTCCTATATACATTTCATCTATCACATTCAAACCCATGTCTTCAATTTTTTTTTTCCCTCATGAATAATATTTGTTGCTTTTTTCATTAAAATCTCTTTGGATTTGTGAACAAAAACAATGAAAAAAAAGGATCTCAAGCCAACAACTTTGTGAGGGTCAGGGGAAATGTTTGTCGTACGCAGCCTTACTCTTACTTTGCAATGAGACTGTTTCCACGACTCGAATAAGTCACCAAGGAGCAAGTTTTCTGTTGTGCCAAGGCTCGCTCTCTGTGAACAAAAGCTATAGTTCAATTTAATTGTGCTTTAGGGTCCCACTAGATCAAACACCATGGGATGGGGTAAGTAACTAAGTATCAACAAGAAAGTCAAGAATCACACTGATTGGGTGATCTTTGTTGTCTGATCTAAAGCTAAAAGGTGGGACTATGATGTCTTTCAATGGTGGGATTCATGAAATCAAAGATTATATACTAAGGGGGATTTTGAACTAATTTACAAATGAGAATACACACAAGCCTTTCAGCAAGCATAACCCTAGTTAACCAACCACTCAGGATTAACTAATATTTTGTGTAAAAAGTATATTGAAGTACTTCATACATGATATTGACGACTATGTAATCGAAGTATAGATTGTCTCAGTAACATGAACAACATGTCGATAGTCTATAACGTCTTCATATGCTTGTCGATATTAGATAGTCAGACATGTCATGTGATCAGAAGATCTGACCTAAAATTCTTTACGCAAATTACTAAATACCAACCCTAAACTTTTGAATACTAGAATGCATGTTATGATCAATCATGCATGTTTGTTAATCTAAACGTCTTTACTCTGTATCTCTCACAAACATAAATAACCAGAATCAACCTAGGCTCCTAAACGTGGTATTTGGGTTGCACTTGTATTTTCTTAAATGAAAGCCTCTGGACCGACCCAAAACAGGTCCCCTCCAAGCTACATGGTTCACATGCATGACAACACATATCATAAACATATTAGGGCAGAAGATGTGGAGGGTCACCAGCCACGTAACCCTAGTATGAGGTGGAAATGAATGCAGAGGCACGGGTATTTGGTGCACCCACCACCTTTCAAACTCCCTAACTTTTCAAACTAACTACTGTTTTACTGAGCCGAGTATCCATTTTTAAGGTGGGCAATTTGACTGTTTGATAGAAGTTGACTGGCTGATAACATACTTAACAGTGGTAAAACACTAACAGTACGACATGTAGTTGAGGATAGGCGTGGGTCGATAACTTTTATCATTTTTCTTGAAAAACGGTGGAACGAAGCTTTTAACGGGAAAAGAAAGGAGCGACGCTTTTTGACCGCCTGCTTTGGAAAGGCACATTTGTTGAGGCAAAATAACAAAAATGCCACCCACTTAACAAATACAAATAGTCTATAGAAAATGATTAATCTCAGTTTACTACCCTGAAGTTTATTGATTTTCAACATTTGGTACATTAAGTTTTTTTCGTCTCAATCAGGTACCTAAATTTATAATTCTGGGACACTCTCATACATCCGTTAAGTTTTCCGTTAGAACTTCTGTTAACTGATGATGTGACTCTCACGTGAACAATAACTGAGCGCAACGTGTCAATATGGGCCAACTTGAATATTAAAAAATTTAAAAAAATTTAAAAAAATACAAAAACACACACAAAAAAAATAAAAATAAAAATAAAAATATATATACCCACCCGCCTTCTCCCTCCCTCCCTCCCTCCCTCTGCAACCCACACCCTCTTTCCTCTCTTTTGCAATCCCCACCCACCTTTCCTCACTTCTCTCCTCTGCAATCCACACCACCCTCCCTCATCTCCTCTACAACCCACACCCACCTTTCTTACCTCACCTCACGCCCGCTCTCTCCCTTCTTTACCCGACCCATCTCCACCCGCTTCACCTTCCCTCCATTTTCTCTCTTCCATCCTTTTCACCTCCACCATTTGCAAAAACCCTAATCCCCAAAATCTGAGGAACACAAATTTGAAATTCAATTCGAAGCAGCTATGGTTCGCGAGCCACTCGAGGAGAGAGATTAACCGAACCAAGGGAGCCACCATGTGCCATTGTTGGAGTCCAGTGGGGTGGTGTCAGGGGCTAGGAATGCTCAAAAATTGGTTAGGATTTGGGAATGATCCAAATTAGGGATTTGGGTCAACTGGGTTTTTGATAAATTTAAGAAATTGGATGGGTTTCTTGTTGATTTAGAATTCCATTGGGTGGGATTTTGTTGGGTTGGGTGTAGGTTGCAGAAGCGAGAAGGGAAAGAATGGGTGTAGGTTGTAGAAGAGAGAAGGGAGGGAGAGGGTGTGGGGGGATGAGGTGGGAGATGGATGGGTTTTTCAATTTTTTTCTTCTTTTTTTTTGTTTTTTAAAAAATTTTAATTTCGAATTTTTAAAGGGAATTGTTATCGGCACTCAAAAAATCTCATTTTGCATTCCAAACTTTCTATAATTAGTAAGAAAATTGCACTTGTGAGGAGTTTAGAATGAGATTTTTGGAGTGTTAATAATAGTTTCTTTTTTTAATTTTTTTATATTCAAGTGGGCGCCCATATTGACACGTGGCGCCTAGTTCTTGTCCACGTGAGCACCACGTCATCAGTTAACAAAATTTCTAACGGAAAATTTAACAGAAGTATGAAAGTGTACCAAAATTATAACTTTAGGTACCGGATTGGGACGAAAAAAACTGCATGTACCAAATGTTGAAAACCAAGAAACTTCAGGGTAGGAAATTGAGATTAACCCAATACAAAAATACTTGGCTCGGAAACCCTTGTTGTAGCCAAATTAATTAAAGTAGTATTCTGCCACTCAGTACTATGGTCTGGTGGTATTCCTCTTTACTTAGAAGTGAGAGGTTTTAAGTTCGAATCTCGTGGATAGTGATTTCGATACCAAATTAGGCTGCCCATTATGTAGCTTAACTGAACTCCCCCTTCCCTTAGTGTAAAAATATCAATGTACTCAAAAAATCAAATTTAAAGTAGTATTCTTAAAAAGAGTAAATTGTACAAATGGTCCCTCAACTTTAATCAAATTGGAGCAATGGTCCCTCAACTAAAAATCCATTACCATTGGTCCCTCAACTTATCAAAATGTGTAGCTATAGTCATTTTCATCAATTTTGTCAAAATTTTGTCAAAATAAGCTATGTTGGAATGACCATTTATATAATTAGGGTCCCTTAACTCATCAAAGTGTATAATTATGGTTCTTTTCGTCAACTATGTCAAAAAATTTGTCAAAACGAGTTATATTGGAAGGACCATTGTTACAATTAGGTTAAAGTTAAATGACCATTTCTCCACTTGAATTAAAGTTCAGGGACCAATGGTAATGGATTTTTAGTTGAGGGACCATAGCTGCACGTTTTGATAAGTTGAGGGACCAAAGGTAATGAATTTTTAGTTGAGGGACCATTGCTCCAATTTGATTAAAGTTGAGGGACCATTTGTACAATTTACTCTCTTAAAAAAGGCATAATCAAGTTCAAATTTACTATACGTAGTCAATTATCATTCAAATAAAATTCATTTATTTCGTACTTATGGCTTGTTTTTTTTTTTTGGGTGAAACCGAAGGCTTGTTTGGGACTAGCACT